GGGGGGGGGGAGAGAGAGAGAGAGAGAGAGAGAGAGAGAGAGAGAGAAACGAGGATGACGATGGTGCTATGAGGCGAGAGAGACAGAGAGAGAGAAACGAGGATGACGATGGAGTTATGTTTAGGGTTTAGAAAAGGGGCTGGGCTTCATAAAATACAACATTAAATGGATTTTGCATTATGAAATCACTAAAGTAACCACTAATAAGTAACAAATAACAAATAAATATTTTAATATTTCAAATCAAAAAAATATTATACTATTTTGTTTAATATATAATTTATATATCCTTTTATTTTTCATGATTTTGATATAAATTTCACATTTATAATCTATATTTATATATATAAAGCAAAATGCAGAGAATTGTGAAATATTAAAAATACCATTGGTTAATGCAAACATTAAGAATTGAAATTCTTAATTAAATGAGAATAATATGATAAATTCATAATTTTTCGTATTTAAAAAATTAAAATTAAAAGAAACTTCAGATAATGGATCATATTTTTACGGAACACAACTACCCATTATTATTTTTAATTCTAAAATAAATTATTATTTTTATTATTATTATTTTAAAAAGCCTCTCGCAGGCGCGGAAGCGCATGCAGAGAGACTAGTATATATAAAGCAAAAGGCAGAGAATAGTTAAACATTCAAAATACTAGAAAATGCCCTTAGTTAATCCTAATATTAAGAATTAAAATTAGGGAGACTTTGGAAAAACACAAAGGAGAGAGAAATTTTGTAAAAGAAGCCAAAATGGACAAAATTACCCTTATTTATTTTTGGATTTCCTAAGGAATCCTTTACATTTGCATGTCTTTGATTTGAAAGTTGAAAATTTACTTTAAAAGTATTAATTAAATGAGGATAATATGCTAAATTTACATTTTTTCATATTAAAAAATTAAAATTAAAAGAATAATCAAATAATGAATTCTATTTTTATGGAATACAACTATCTATTATATTTTTTTAATTCTAAAATAAATTTAGAATTTATTAAAAAAAATCCTCTCGCAGGCATGGAAGCGCATGCGGAGAGGCTATACTAAATAATTTATTAAAAAAAGCATATGCATTTGCATAGGCCCCGATTACTTCTCTAGGCGTTAGGCCCTTGCCTGCCGCCCCCTTATTGCATAGTGATTTTTCGAACATCGGGATTAACATGTTTGTAAATCGAGGTGTACCAACACTTCAATTCACAACCCTGCAATTTTAATTGACTCCAATTCCCTTCTGTTTGTGTTCATAATTAACTAAAAATTAGTTGCATTGCATGGTGTTTAGATTTAACTTTTCTGGTATAATTTTTCCCAAGGCTATAAACAAAAAAGCAATTTCGTCAGTTCTCAATTGATTGTGCAGTGACTATATGTCTCCGGAGTATGCTATGGGGTGGATGTTTTTTGAAAATTTTGATGGCTACAGCCAGAGGCGCAAGGAGGTGCATATGCACCTCTTCTCGCCGGAAAGAGCTCTGGAGGTTGTGGAATTTGCCCTTAGCTCTGTCATGAAAGTGCCCACAATCTGCTCAAAGAAATGCCTCTGCGAAATTGCTTTTTGTTTGCTGTGGTGTTGCGTTGTTGGTGGGCTGCTGCACGCAGCACAGCCGCATGCTTTTTTTTAAAAAAGTCCCCGCTTTTTTTAAAAAAAAGTCCCTGGCCAAAACGACTTGTTTTGGACCAGGGCAATGAAAAAACATAGGGATAAAGCCTTATATTGTGCGGATAGGAACCCACTGCCAAAGTACAAGTAATATTATAAATAATTTAATATAATTGAAGAAGCCAACAGACCCAAATCTCAAGGTCTGTGTTTTTTTTCCCCCTTTTGGTCTTTTTTTCTTCTGGTGTTTTATTTCTATTTTTTTTATAATATGTTTTTTTTTATAATAATTATTTTTTTTTATGTGGCTTTCTCTGTATTTTTTAATTATAAAGTTATGAAACATTACTAGTAATCTTCAATCGAATATTGCCCCTTTTCTGAAAAATTCTTGGGTCCGCCACTGGCTATAGCTTCGAGGTCTTGCAATTGGAGATTATTAGTGGCAAAAAGAATACCAGCTTCTATTCCAATGACCAACATATAGGCTTCCTAGCTTATGTAAGCTCACACTCTAAATCTTAATGCAAAATCGTATCTTTCATACTGCTTAAGCAACCTATATGAAGCTAAATGCAGCATAGTTTAACAATTATGGCCAACATACATGAAATTTTTTCAGGCATGGCACTCATGGAATGAAGGTAGGGGTTTGGAGTTGGTTGATGAAGCATTGGCAGATTCATATTCACCTTCAGAATCTCTTGAAACCCAAAGGCATTGCATATGCATGGGTCAAAAGCACTTGGAATTGCATGCAATTATATTGGATTTTTGCCTCAGTTTAGGTGCACATTAATGGTGATGATGATGGAGATGTCGGTGGTGATGGTGGTTTGTGAGTGATAGTAGGGGAAGTGGGGAGTGGTGGTGGCAATAGGAGTGAGGTGGTGGTGGTGGTGGTGGTGGGGTGGGAGTGGTGGCAATGGTGGTTGGGGTGATGGTGGGGCTGATAGTGGGGGTGGCAGTGGTGGTGGCGATAAGGGTAAGGGTGGTGACAATAACAGGGATATTGATGGTGTTAGCAGTGGTGGTGGTGACGATGGGGGTGATGGTGCAGGCGGCGGTGGTGGCGGTGGTGCTGGGGTGGCAGCGATGACAGTGGTGGTGGTGGCGACGACAATGACTGTGGTGGTGGTGGTTGCGGCAGCGGCAATGGTGATAGCCATGATAGGATGGTGGTAGTAGAAGTGGTGAAATCATATCTTGGAAATAAAAATAATATATCTATCAAAATCTTTGGGGGGAAGCAAAGATTTGTCATGGCGTAAACTTAGTCTATAATCAAACGATGTCCACCACTTTTTGTGTTTCCTTTAAAATCAATGAGTTTTTGAATACATCCAAACTTTTATAAGTCTTTTAAAATCATGATTGAATACATCCAAATTTGAATGGAGTTTAAAAAGTCTGAATTGAATACACCCAAAATTTTATAGACTTCTATAAAATTGTGATTAAATACACCTGAACTTTTAATTTTTTTTTAAACTTTTAAAATCTAAATTGAATACCCAGTGTCTTTTAAGAATCCAAACAGAGACAACATCATATACTTAAGCTCTTTAACAAATTGTTTTTTTTGTCAAAGACCTCTACAATGGTTTGGGAATACTAAAATAGGTGAGAGCTACATCTACAAAACTCTCTCCAACAAATTTGTCAAAGTTGCACCCCAAACACGAGGAGACCGGTCACTTCCTCCTTTATGTTGAAAATCTCTAACATGACTTACATAGCACAAGCTATTGTTGTTGCTTCTAGGAGGCTTAGCGTCTACAACGCTAACGTGAAAAAGAAGTTGGAGCGTCTTAGACCTTCTTGACGTGAGTTTTTTTTTTTTTTTTTCCTAGCTAGGGTTTGGGTTTTGGAATTATGGTAAAGTGGTAAGGGTATTTTCGAAAGGTGTTAAGGGAAAAAAGGAATGGGAATCAGATCGACTACTCCCTAGTTGATCTGATTCCTGGTTTTGAGGGGACGTGATTATGGATTTTGAGGTAGGGCCCACATATTTTTTTATTCTTGATTGCAAGTAAGTGCATGGGAAGTCAAGAATGAAGATTATTCTCTTTCCTTCCATACCCATTACTGATACGTAAACATGCTGTAAGAGTCTTTCAAGAATTCAAATAGAGACAACATCAAATACATAGCCTCTTCAACAACAAATTTTTTATTTTGGTCAAAGACCACTTCAACAGTTTGGGAATGCTAAAATAGGTAAGCTATATAAGCAAAACTCTCTCCAATAGATTTGTTAAACTCAGTTACCCAACCTCTTTCTTTCTCTTCAGAACTAACAAGTTGACTTTGGCTCTTCAAAATAATTATTTTACTTTGGAAGAACAAAATCTACATTGAAAATGCTAAAAACTGCACATTTTCTGTTCATATAATAAATATATAGACAGTTTTTCACATGTTGTCGAAGAAACCCACATTATTAAAAATAGCAAATAAACTTTTTTTTTTTTTTTTTTGGTCAGAGGAAACAAACTTTTTCAAATCGTCACATAAGTCAACAAACTTCAATTTAAAGAATTTAGTTTGCTACTCATCGAAGAAGAACAAATTCGAATTGGGGAATTCTTTTCACCGTTGGAAAAAGAACAAGTCCTACCGTATTAAGAGTTAGGTAGTGAATTTAAATTTTGTTTCATGCATGGACCCATATATTATACTTGACCGAAAGAAGGAGTTGGCCAAAAAGACTTCATAGGTTAGAATTGTCTCCCGTGGGGAATTCTTATCTCCATTAAAATTGTCTCCTGTTGAGGTTAGTGGATCAATTAAGCTTCGACGTAACTTACTCTTCCGTGCCAGTCACTCCCATGAATCCGAACTAAGAACAAGTCTCATCATAATTGTCCTCTTCCACCCGGCAATTGTCATGTCTCCAACCGCAAGATTTAAAATACATTTACTATGGAAGGCCCAGCTCTCAATCTGAATGTGGAAATTATTAGAGTTGCACCGTCTCACGACCGTTTATGCATTTCTGCTCATTTATAAACCTATAAATACTCCTCCAATGCATGATGGTTTTGCACACCATACCCAAAACCAAAACCATTTGCTTACAATGGCAATGGCATCATCCAAAACTTCAACTCCTTCTCTCTTCGCAATCACTACCCTACTCCTCTTCATCCTCCTTTCTCTCCTCTCCTACGCAAAAGCCTCAGAAACCCACCACAAAAAAACATCTTCTTATGAGTTCCTTGAACATCTCAAAGGGTGTCACAAGGGTGACAAAGTTCAAGGCATCCAAAACCTCAAAATATACCTTGAAAAGTTTGGTTACTTGAATGGCAATACCAACAATGATGACTACTTTGATGACGAACTGGAGTTGGCCATCAAAACTTACCAAATCAATTACCACCTTAAGGTCACCGGAACATTAGATGCGAAAACCGTAAAGAAAATGGAGATACCTCGATGTGGTGTGCCGGATATCATCAACGGTACCACCTCCATGAGATCAGGAAACAAAAGGGGAGGACATGGTTCAACTCACACAGTTGGTCATTACGCTTTCTTCCAAGGAAACCCAAAATGGCCTGCCAATAAGTATCACCTCACCTATGGTTTTCTTCAAGGCACCCCATCTGAGGCTGTGGGCGCAGTTGCACGTGCTTTTGCAACATGGCAGGGCAACACACACTTCACGTTCAGCCAAGCCCAAAGCTTTGAGAGCGCTGATCTGAAGATCGGTTTTGGGAGGGGTGATCATGGAGATGGGGCTAATAATGCATTTGATGGCCCAGGTAAGACCATAGCCCATGCTTTTCCGCCGTCTGATGGGAGATTTCACTATGATGCTGATGAGACGTGGGTGGTGGGCGCTGTGCCGGGTGGTTTCGACTTGGAGACTGTGGCTTTGCACGAAATTGGACACCTTCTTGGACTTGACCATAGCTCTGTTTCAGGAGCTGTCATGCAATCTCAAATTCCTTCGGGATATACCCAAAGTTTGCATGCGGATGATGTTCAAGGAATTAGAGCTTTATACAACACTTGATCTTGATGACGATCAGGTCATGAAGAATGTTTTTATGTTTTTATGTTTATCAAATCAGGTATCTCACCTGGAGTGGAGTGTGCGATACAATATATTGCATTAAAGTTGCAGCATATTTATGCTGGATATTCAATTGTTTGAAGCTCGTAAATTGTGATATACACACCATTTGGAATTTTAAATATTAATTTCCGGAGTTTTTCATTTTCTTGTTAGAAATTTCTTTGGGACGTAGAAAATCTGATTATCCTCACGTATAAATCTTAATTAGAGAACCTTCAAAGGTTGTACTTTCAAGTCATAAACGATTAGTAATTAATTTTTTTTTTTATTATAAAAAAAAGTGATTAGATGAATCAATAGTCATCCATTGTTTGACCCAAAAAAACTAGTCATATCAATGAGTGATAATGTGACCTAAAATCAATTGGCAACAGGTTGAGAGACCCAAAATGACAGACTTTTACTTCCAGAGGGAAGAACACTCTCAACAAGTTTAAACTTCAGTTAAGCAGTGCAAGTATCGTCTACCAAGAAACACTTAGCACAACCAAGTAACAAAATGATAGGTAATTAAGGGCTCAAAACCTGGTTATAGTACTTACAGATCCAAAAAAAAAAAAAAAAAATGGCGTGGTGCCAAAGAGAAAGATAGTCGATTGGTGAAGAAGAGTGAAGTGAAGGGTGAAAAAGATAAGCATGAGTGGGGTTTTGGAGGAGAGGGTTTTGCTTGGCATATTTTCTTATTTTTCAAGAAAAGGGGGGTAGAGAAAATTCCAGCCAAGAAAGAAACAAAGAAGAATGACAGGTCCACCCCTAGATGCAACCTCTTTCTCTCTCTTTAGAACTGACAAGTTAATCTTGGCTCTTCAAAATATTTATTTTACCTTGGAAGAACAAAATCTACATTGAAAATGCTAAAAACTTGCACTTTTTCTTTCCATATAATAAATACATAGACATTTTTTTTCACATGTTTTCGAAGAAACCCACATTTTTGAAAGTGCTAAAAAACAAACATTATATGAATTGAATTGAAGAGTATGGTGATGCACAAATTATTAAAGTAGCAAATAATCCTTCTTCTTTTTTGTTGGAGCAAACAAACGTTTTCAACTAACTTGCCACATAGGTCAACAAACTCCAATTTAAAAAGTTTAATTTACTACGCATCGAAGAAAAATGAATTATTCAAACTTCGGAATTTTGCATGGACCCATATATTATACTTGACCGAAGGACCCCATATATTATACTTGACCGAAGGAAGGAGTTGGCCAAAAAGTCTCCCTTAGAATGACTGCTGTTTAAGACTCAAAACGAGTCTTCAAAGCGTAGATCTGTTCGAGCTAAGAATAGTCAGTCTTTCATGTTGTTTACGAAATAAGATCCACCAAAGGGACATTTGCACAGTTGATATTCAAGGCAAACTTGCACAGTTGGAATCAGTTGCCATTCATGAATTAATGTCTATGTAACAGTCAGTAAACGTGTATTACGGTAAACTAGCATTACTTATATGAAAACTGCAAATATTTCCCCAAAAAAAAAAAGCACAAAAAAAAAAAAAAAAAAAAAAAAAAAAAAAAAAAAAAAAGAAGAAGAAGAAGAAGAAGCCAAATTGAAGTCGTTCCCCAGTAGCATGAATTCAGGTCTTTATTAGGCAAAAATAAATAGAAAAGATATCCAAATAAATACCACTTTTATTTATTAAAAAAAATGCTAACAATATATTTCTTGAACAAGTCGTTCCCCAGTAGCATGAATTCATGAATTGATCTAACAAAATTATTTCTCTACTATGAACACTAACTTTGACCAGAACATTAAATTAATTGTCTCTTGCGTTGATAGCTTCTACATCTCTGGCGCGCTAGTCATTCCCATGAATCTGAACTAAGAACAAGTCTCATCAAAATTGTCTTCTCTATTTTCTTCTTCCACCCGGCGATTGTCGTGTCTCTTACGGCCAGACTTAGAATACGTTTACTAAGGAAAGCCCAGCTCTCAATATGAAGGTGGAAATTAGAGTTGCACCGTTTCACGACCGTTGATGTAAGTCTGCTCATTATACACCTATATATAGCCTTCCAAGTATGAGGGTTTTGCACAGCATATCCAAAAGCAAAATTATTTATTTCCCAAATATACAATGGCATCATCAAAAACTTCGACTCTTTCTCTATTCGCAATCACTACTTTTCTCTTCATCCTCCTTTCTCTCCTCTCCTACTCAAAAGCATCAGAAACCCACCACAAAAAAACTTCATCACCATTTGAGTTCCTTGAGCATCTCAAGGGATGCCACAAGGGTGACAAGGTTCAAGGCATCCAAGACCTCAAAAAATACCTCGGAAAATTTGGTTACTTAAGCAGCAACAATAATGGCCACTTCAACGATGATGATTTTGACGACCAATTGGAGTCAGCCATCAAAACATACCAACTCAATTACCACCTCAAAGCCACTGGAACATTGGATGCTGAAACTGTATCCAATATGATGATGCCACGTTGCGGTGTCGCAGATATCATCAATGGTACCTCCTCCATGCGATCAGGCAAACAAAGGCACCCTCACCACCATCACCACGGAGGACACACAGTTGCTCATTATACTTTCTTCCGGGGAAACCCAAAATGGCCGGCCTCTAAGTATCACCTCACCTATGCCTTTCTTCAAGGCACCCCAGCTGAGGCCACGGGACCAGTTGCACGTGCTTTTCAGACATGGGCCGCCAACACACACTTCACCTTCAGCCAGAGCAATCAGAACCCCGATCTGACAGTGAGTTTTCACAGGGGTAATCATGGAGACGGATCTCCCTTTGACGGGCCAGGAGGGACCATAGCCCATGCATTTGCTCCAACAAACGGGAGATTTCACTACGACGCTGATGAGCGGTTTTCTGTGGGCGCCGTGAGTGGTGCTTATGACTTGGAGACTGTGGCTTTGCATGAAATAGGGCACCTTCTTGGGCTTGGGCACAGCTCTGTTCTGGGAGCTATTATGTACCCGACTATAAGCCCTGGAGCGACCAAAGGTTTGCATGGGGATGATATTCAAGGAATTAAAGCTTTATACAACGCTTGATCATCGGTTGATCATCTCTTGTCTTAAAGCTCACTTCGTTTTTAAGTTCACCCAAACCCGAAGTCATGAACCTTTCATTATTCCCTTTTATTTTTGTTTTTTTTTTCAAATAAAGTACCTCACTTACAAGTGTACTAAAAGTTGTATCTGAAATTTCTTAAATACAAGTTTGAATGATTTATTATTTTCTGAAATTTCTTTGGAATACAAGTTTGTCTCCATTGCAATCATAGAACATATCATTACTTTTAAAGCAGTGGCGATTGTCTTATAAACCATGTCCTCTCTCTCTAGGGGTCAACTCAATCTGGAAAAGTAATATGAAACTTTTCTCTCTTAGAGTTCTATAAGGAATCTGAATTCAAAATTTGAGGTTCAAATAACTTAAGAATATTGATAATTTATTACTTTGCTCAACTTATTGGAAGCATTGTCTTCCAAGATGGACTTTATACAAGAAACTGAATAACAGAATTATTCACAGCTACTGAAAATATGATGTCCAAAACCTGGTTATTACTTGCTAGATATAGTATAGCATAATCGCATCAAAATCTATTCTTTCTCCCCTCACAATCACTCTCCTCTCCCATGCAACGTCATTATAAATAAAAAATTTAAAAAAATCTCAATTTAGGACTAGTTTTGCTTTCTTCCCAAGCTCTGGAATTTGTCCTTGCTCTCCCTTCTTGTCCAAATATCATAGAATAGAAGGAAAAACGGATCAAAGAAGAAGAGTTGCGCTAGGCAGGGAAGAAGATTGATGTCTTTGATGTTCGGTCTGGAAGATTGATGTCTTATAGACAAGCAGCAGGTTTGATATTTAACTTTCGTTTAGTTATAAACAAGCCTACATGAAACTCGTTTAGTTAAATATACCTAGCGTAGATATTTTCCGAACTAAAGATAATACTCAGTCGACTCTCTCTCTTAGTTGGCTTCTTCATGATATGGGAAGGGAAATTTGTGGATCACGATTTCTCATCACCTCCAGATGGGAGTTCAAATCAAGCTGAGTTGGAATCAGCGGCTGCGCACCAAATAGAACCAAACCACCAAGGGATATTTGCACGCGGTTGATATTGAAGGCATGCATATGCTTCGTCATCTATGTAACGTCAGCAAACTTGCATGATGATGATGGTAAAGTGAAAAAAACAATTTAGTTGTAAAACAAAAGTAAACAAGATATAATGGCATGTTTGGTATTCAACTTGAATCCAACTTTTTAAACTCAAAAACAGAATTTGAGTATAAAAAAAAAAAAGTTTTGGTAGCCCTATTTTTAAAAACTCAAACTCAAGAACAACTAAAAAATACCCCAATTATTAAAAACAAAAAGATCTGTTTTTTCAGTTTTTTTCTAACAACTCACAAATTCTCAATTTTTTAAGATTTGAAAGTTTTCAAGTTTCATACCTATCAATTTTTTTTAAGAACTCCTTATTTTTAAGAAAAATTAAAGTTTTTGAGTTCCCTATTTAAATAAGATACCAAACACCCCCTAAATGCTCGTTTGGTATCCTTCTTGGATCCAATTTTATAAACTCAAAAACAGATTTTAAGTCCAAACTCACAAAAACCCGTTTAGTAGCCTATTTTTAAAACCAAAAAACTGAGATTTTTATCTGAAACCTGGTTATAGTACTTACAGACCCAAAAAAAAAAAAAAAAACTGGCTTGGTGCCAATGAGAAAGATGGTTGATTGGTGAAGAAAAGTGAAGGGTGAAAAACATAAACGTGAGTGGGTTTTTGGAGGAGAGGGTTTTGCTTGGCATTTTTTCTTATTTTTCAGGAAAAAAAAGGGCAGAGAAAGTTCTAGCCAAGAAGGAAACACAGAAGAATGACAGGTCCACCAGAGAAGATGAAGTTGATGTCCTTATTGTACACTGAAGAGAGGAAAGTTAGGAAACTAAAACTCTCTTCCTACTATAAAAAATAAAAAATAAAAAATAAAAAATAAAAAATAAAAAAAAATC